CCCAGGTGAGGTCTACGGGTTCGCCGTTCTGATGGGGTCAGAGTTCTGACGCGGAATTGGGGTTTCTCCAGAGCTCTGTACTTGAGCAGTCCAGAGACTCCTGGGCCTTCTGTCTTGTGCCCCTCAGGCTGTCCAGCGGCGACTAAATGAAATTGAGACTGCTCTAGGGGAGCTGGAGGCTGAGGGCACGAAGGTGGAGCTGGCCTTGAGAAGCCAGAGCAGTGAGTAAAGACAGGAGGGACAAGCTACGACATCCCTCCACCTCCCAGCGCTCCCTCAGACCACCAGACTTTGTCCCCAGCAGGCTTCACTCCTCATGCTCCTGACACCTGACCCCCCTCGCCCATTCCTCCTTCCCGTCAGGATCCCCAGAACAGCACAAGGCACTGGGGCTGGAACAGCTGCTACAGCTCGTTCAGAAGAAAAACAACCTACTGGCGGAGGAAGCTGAGCTCATGCTCACGTAAGGGGCAGTGGGTGGTGACGGTTGGCACCGAAGCCAGAGCCCAGCTGGGTCCTCGGGCACCCTGGACAGCTGTGACTCTTCAACCCCTGCCCTCCACAGGGTGAAAGAGCTGAACCTGCAGGAGGAACAGTGGCAGCTGGACCAGGAGCTACGAAGCTACGTAAACCAGGAAGGTAGGTGGGCCATACACACAGCCTCTGACCTCGGATACTGACCAAGCACATGGTCCTCTAGTCCGAGTGCCTCTGAGGCATTTCAGGAGGAAGCCAGAGAATGGGGCTCCAAGCCCCTACTTTGCCTTCAGTTCAGTCAGGGCTGCACAGCTGGGCTTTTACGTTAAGCTTCCTTACTTTAAAGATGGTGCTGCTGCTGGGGCGCCTGGCTGGCTCAGCTGGAAGACCGTGTGACCCTTGATCTCAAGGTCATGATTTCAAGCCCCATGCTGGGCACAGAAATTGCACATATATCGTATGTATTATCAATCTAGACTACAATAAAAATGGTGCTGCTGAAGAGTGCTAGCAAACCACTGGTGTGGACAGAGCCAATCTTACAGATGAGGAAACAAAGCCCAAATCGTGGAAGTCACATAGGCTGGGATTAAGCTGTGCCTTTCCTGCCTCCCTGCCCAAGTCCCTGTTCTCTAAGCTTTGTTGTCTTCTTCAGGAGCCCTAAAGACCCCTGCCGATCGGCAGGCTGAGGACCAGCTCCTGAAGAAGCTGGTGGATGTGGTGAACCAGCGAGATGAACTTATCCGCTTCCAGGAGGAACGCAGGCTCAGTGAGCTGGCCTTGGAGCCAGGGGCCCAGGGCTAAAAGAGAATGGGCTGTCTGCCCTCTAAGATCCCTACACGGAAAACCACCTCACCCCAGGACTGTGCTACCCTGCTCCTCTGGTCTGCCTGGGAGGAGGCCTCACTGTTTACAATAAAAATGCTTCTGCCACAGACAGGGCTTAGGCTGCCTGCAGGTGGGAGGCAGGGTGTGCAGGGAGGGTAGACATGTAGGAGCTTAGCCATCTGTATTATGACAGTCACAATGACCTTTGGCCCCAATCGCTGCCTCTACAAGGAAAAGGCAGAGCCACAAAAGTGTCAAACTTTATTGTTCCTCAGTTCCATCCCCCTCCTGCTGCAGGAGCAGGGCTGGCGGAGACTCTGTGCCCCGATCCTGGGCCTCCCTTGCCCTTCCCAGCACATGCTGGAGCTCAGCCCGAGCCCCAGACAAGCCCTTGGCCTCCTGCGTGTGGACGACGTAGACCGCCCCTGCCCCCAGCAGCAGTCCCACACTGGGAGTCCAGAGTAGTATGGCAACCTCCCTCACCCCTCCTCCAGCTGCCAAGGCGCACAGCAAGGCCAGGAGCAGCAGCCCTAGACCGATCACGTAGCCGGCGGAAGTGGCCCACCAGCGAGCTTGAGCCACGCCCAGGTCCAGCTCTATCCAGGCCTCCTTTAATATACTGACCAACCGTGACCTTTCTGCTGGTCCTAGAATAAAGCAGGGCAGTGGGGCAGGAGAGAGCGGGTCAGAGTGGAGGGGCTGCCTTGTGGTGGGGAGGGACCCCGGGAGAGGGTGGGGTGACTTACCATGAGTAGGGCTGGGGGTGTGCTGGGGGGGGCTGTGTCTCACACACAGAGTAGCCATCAGGGCCTCATGATCAGAGAGAGGGGTGCCACTGTGAGGGTCGTGGCCTGTAGTGGTTCTAAGAGTCTTACAGGAGACGTAAAAGCCAGAAACCGCCTAGGAAAAGTCAGGGCCAGAGAGAAACATCTTTGAGGGCCTCCTCCCATTCTCCAGCCATCAGTGACTAGACTAGACTAGCTGGACGAAAGATGAGCACAAGCTGGTGAAAGACAGAGACGTGGTGGGTGAAGACACACTGAGGGAACAGGCCTGACCTTATACAGCACGTAGTCAATGCGGATGCCAAACGGAAATAGCTCTAGCTCCCGCTGGTTGACGTAGCAGTTCTCAGGCAGCATGGTGCAGCCTTCTTCAGAGCCCTAAGTGAATAGATGGTTCATGCTAGGACGTAGGGGAGAAAGAGGAGAGAAGCTGAGGGTGTAGGCATGGAAATAATCAGGCGGGTTCTCACTTTGAAATCCCGGGTCTCGAGGTAGGCATCATGCAGCCCTGTCCACTCCTTCAGCAGGCGGCAGCCCAGGTCCTTCGGGTGCAAGTTGAGGTCGCCACACAACAGAACCACATCGGCCTTCTTGGATGTGTGGCTGGGGGAACCAGGTTGGTGAGGCAGGAGTTCTTCCCCAACCGGCTCTGCCCTCCTTTAAGTGGTGCCCTGACCACCCCTCAACCCCTGGCCCATCCCACTTCCCCTGCCAAGCCCAGGCTCACACACTGGATGAACTGGGCCAGTTCCCAAGCTTGGGCCACACGGTGTGTTAGGTAGATGTCCTTCTGTCGATTGTACTCGGCATGGAGCTGAGCAAGACAGGTGAGGTTATAGCAGATGAGACGGTCCCTATCTGAGGGTCTAAATCATGCTTGTGTCTGTCACTTGGCATGATACTTGGTTAAAAAATGGGCAAACCTTGCCCAGTAACCTTGGGAGATCCTGGCCCCAAGCTCACCCTCAGGCAGCCCAAGTAGAGGAGGCCCATCTCTCCCTCCCAGAACCAGGCCGCCTATCCCAGCCCTGCCAGCTTCACTCACGTGGGTCACATAGACATTGAGCACCAGTCCACTTAGATGGAGCACCAGCAGCCCCACAGCCTTCCCGCAGAACCAGTCTCCATGATGGATCTGCAGGCAGGAGGGAGCAGGAACTCAGGGCATGGCCACCCTCTTTCTGCCCACCCCCTGCAGCCCGGGGAAGGCTGCCTCCTTTACCATGTGTTACTGGGGGGTGGGAAAGGGAGGCGGAAGAAATCTGACATAAGGCTTACCATGTAGGGGTAGCCATTGAGGGTGTAGACGTGCTGGGTGAATTCCTGGATAGGATGTTTGGAGAAGACGCAGAGACCACTGCCGATGACACCACTGCAAACCAAGTCCTGATTAACGGCCAGAAAAGCAGAAAGAGACCCAGCCTTCCCCTCCCTCCTCTCCCAGCTCTATCAGCTACTTTTTATCTCAGTTTTTTGCTGAGATCAGCACCAGAGCAAAGCTCAAAGCAAGAGTCTCCGTGGGACGATAGAGTGACTTGATAAGGCTTGGGATGGGCTGAAGAGCGCACATCTTCCCGGTTCCACCTACTCTTGCACCCACACCCACAGGAGAGGGCTCTGGGAAAGAGGAAGGAGGATGCGGGCAGGATAGGGAAGGGCTGGTAGGACCGAAAGCTTCCCGATCTGAGAACAAGCTTCCAGACGGGTTAGGTAGGCTTCTCACCTGCTGAAATAGTGTGCAGCTGGGTAGGTGGGCAACAGCTTCTGTCTCAGGTACTGGAAGTCCTGCTCACTCCACACCTGAGGGAAGAGGCGAGGATGCTTGCCTGCCCGCCCCCCGGGAAGCGTCCCCTCCTGCGTCCCCCGCCGCCCCCCACCCCGTCCCAGTCAGGGTTCCACACCAGTTCCACACTGCCCACCTCCTCCAGGAGAGCTAGGTCGAAGCTCTCCATGTTCAGAAAGTCTCCCAGGCGCTTCATGCGGTCGGCCCGGTGCTTGCTCAGGTAGGGAATGCCCCTGAGGACGAGAAGGGCCAGGCAAGGTGATGGCTGGAGGCGCTGCGCTCTCCGTGCACCGCGGGAGCCGGGGCCGGTGTGGGCCTGGAGGTGCGGGTGCCCCCCGCCCCCGGAGACTGGAGGACAGGGTAGAGCCGTGGCCCGGATGTGAGGGAGGCTCCCGTCCTCTGGCTGTGGGTGCGACTGGAGCTGTGGCCCCGGACCCACCCCGCGGGCGCTCTCACCAGCAGTTGAGGTTAAAGATCCTCAGTCGCAGAGAGAAGTTGGGCTTCATGGCGAGCAGCGAGCTCCGCAGGCGTTGGACAACACCGCCTCGCCGGCGACGGCTGCGGCTGGAAGCGGTGCGGACTGGCGGCGCCTCCTCCCGGGGCCGTGCGCACAGGTGGCCGGCCCCGCCCCCGTGCTCCCCGGAAGGCCCCGGCCTCCCAGCCCGCGCGGCTCAGGCCCTGGGCGGAGTCCGACTCCGCGTCGCACGGGCCACCAGCCCACTGCCCCCTCCTTCCCCCGCCCCCCCCCGCAACTGGCTGCCCGCCAACCCGGAAAGGCGATCTACTGCGAAATCTGGCGCGGCCGGGAGACGAGGGCCGCGCGGCGTCCCTGTAGGGGGGATACCAGAGGGGGTTCGGTGGGCTGCCAGCCGGGCCGAGGCACGCGGGGCTTCGGCGGAGCTCCCCGTTCCTTTTCGCAGAAGCTCCGTCCCCCGGCCACGGCCGCCCGCGCGCCCTCTCCCGCCTCTCGGCCGGCTCACCAGCAACAGGCGCAAAGTTGAGAGAAGACCCGGCCGTCGCCGCCGGCCCACTCGCGTCCTTCCTCCCAGCTGCAGACGGGGGCGGGGCCGCGCGGTTGCCCCGGCGACGCGCAGTGTTTGTGCTCGGAGCAGTCCCCCAGCGCCGCCATGGCGAGCCCGGAGCAGTGCCGGCCAAGGTCGGCCCGGTGCCGCTCGCAGTCGCCGCCCGAGCAGCCGCTGCAGGTGAAGGTGGTGGGGCTCTTCAAAAGCTCCAGCTTTCAGATTGCGAAGAGCGCTGCTGAGGTAACCGCGAGAAAACCACACGTGCGGGTGGCCCTTCCGGGTTCCCGGTCTCGCGCCTCCTGGTGACAGAGGTCGATGTTCCGGGAGGTAGGCATGTGTCCCGTCCGAGTAGGCTCCGTCTGTACTTCCCAGGGGGCAGGGTCGGGTCGGCTGGACGTTCCACTTCGAGAAGGGCTACCTTTAAAGCGGGATCGGAGCGAAGGAAAAGTTCAGAACCTTGCTGGGTGAGGGAGGGTAATTCCCCCCTCTAGATATCCACCTATTTTATTTCCACATCAATTTTTACTTGCGTTATGGATTTTAAAAATTCATGAAAAAATATTTAGGAAGAAGTGATACCGTATAACTACTGATTTTTGTTTGTTTCTTTTTACGAACTCCCTCCCTAAGTGATTTTTGGAAACTTCATTTGGGAAGTTTTTTGGGTCCCCCTCTAAATTTTCTCTAGCATTTACTGCATTCCAATCGAATTAGGATCTTAAGGGATTCTCAACAAATGACCTACAAGTGCTTTGGAGAATCCAGGTATTTCTTTGTAAACACACAGAACGCTATAAAAGGAAAAACACTTTAAGCAACTGGGGGACCTTGGCCAGGTCCGCCGTGGTGCAGCACACATACTACCCAAATGCAGGAGAAATGCAGAATTCAGCACATCTTTGGGGTTTACTCCGGGAATGCTACTGTTAAGATTATGCCAAAATTCTCTCCTTCAAAACCCCACCAGACTCTAGGACCATGCCCTGTCCATGTTTGTGTACCCCAAACTATCCAGCTGGATACCTGACACAAAATGTTCTCAAATAGAAGAAATCTTAAGCAATTCCTGCCTTCCTGCCGGCTCTAAATCCGCAGAGTTAAAGAAAAGTTTGTAATTATATCAAGTGAAGAAATAAACTGTCGACCTTAAAAGTAAAACAGTTATTTTACCATCAAAATGGGTTTATTTGATAATAGCATAGGAATAGCAATTTGGGACATAGAAGCTATGGCAAACCAAAGGCAATCTGAGAGATCAAAGGACAGGTACATTACAGAGAAAAGGAGGACGCTGGGAGGGGTTGCTCTGAAGAAAACTCCACTGATAGAAAGTGAGAGTTCAGGGTGGTGAAAGTCTCACCGGTTGATTGTGGTATTGGCTGTGCTTGTTGCTTAGCAAGGAGACATTCTCCTTTCCTTCTGCTGGAGGAGTAAAATAGACTTATTCCTGTTGGGAATACAAGGTTTGTCTCTTCCTGACCTGCTGGGGGCTGCAATTGAGGAGCGGTGGTGGTAAAGCATGAGAGCTCCCCCTTCTGGCCTCCCGACTCCATTTTAAGTGAGGTTTCCTTTGCTCAGTTTCACAGTAACTAATTTGTGAAACAGGTGAAGTTTACATCAAGAGGAAGAGAACAAGCAATGTCTTTGAAAACGATACATGGATCATCAAAATAAGTAGAAATTATGGGCTGTTAGCTGGGCTGATGGGATCTATAAAGTTTATGGCTCAAGTTGTATTTAAGGAATTTTTTTACCTTGTTTTTCTTTAGCTCCTTCTCTGAGGGCACATGTTTTTTGTGCCTGCTCCACACTGTAGAGAAGGTGTTGGCAATTTTTTTCTGTAAAGCCTAGATGTTAAATTATTAGGCCTTCAGGGCCATAGGCTCTCAGTCACGACTACTAGACTGTGTCCTTGTACAAAAGTGGCCACAGACAATATGTAAATGAATGGTGGTTTAACAATAAAACTTAATTATAAATACTGAAATTTGACTTGCATATAATTTCACATGACACGAAAGATGATTCTTTTTTCTTTTTCAACTGCTTAAAATCTAAAAATTCTTCTTAGCTTTCAAGTCTTAGGAAAACAGGCAGATTTGGCCTGCTGGCCAGTTTGCCAACCCCTGTTGTAGAGGATGCTAAGTCAAGAAAACAATGTCTTTGTTACATTAGTAATGTTAATTTTCCCTTTCTTGAGCTTTTGCCTACTGTAGCTCTATTTGAATATGAAAACCTATCAGTGTAAATTGAGTTAGTTCGACCTTAATAAAGGATATGGCTTTGAATAATTTCTCAACATGATCCTTTGGTAAGCAATCCTGAATACCTAATTTACTGTCGGAGATTTAGATTTGTGAAGAGTATTACATAGATTCTAATTTGGATGTAGTCCATTCTAGACACTAACTTGTGAAGAAAGTCTGATGATGCTTAATTTGAAAACTGTTGGGCTTATTAGTTATCCCAGATGGTACCCCCCCCCCCCCGTTAGAAACACAATTGCCTCAAACTAAGCACGGACCCTGGAACTGTGACAAAGGACACATCATCATCTGTTGGTTGGGCAGGAGCCTAAGAAGGAAATGACCCAACTGCTATTGCCCTCTTCAGCTCCCCCTGGTCCCAAGGGCTTTCTCCGCCTTGGAATACCCACCCCTAATGAAACATGCCAGGCCAATGTCCTCTTTTAGGCCACAGTCAGACCACTAAGCAGCATCCTTAGTGGAGAAGGTGCCCACTGCAGCAGCCTGTTGTCACTGTTCCTTGTGGGACAGATCTCCTCCTCAGCCCCGCTCAGAAATGTGAGGCCTCTTAGGGCCTCCTCTGCTTTCTCTCGCTTGACCAGGAGGCAAAATGCAACATACCAGGAAGCAAAACTTTGTTTTTTTGACAGGAATTGTTAACCAGTAAGAATTTTCTCTGATTTGTATAGACAAAATAATGTATGTTACACCAAAACATGCTCAGTATCTAAACCTAAACATATTTAGTATTTATTTCACTTCTTCCCAAGGGGTGTAACCACAGCAATATCCTTTTGCATTCTCCACATATCGATAAATTAAAATAATAACATTTATTTTAGTTTAAAGTTATCTGTAGAGGGAGGGGGATGGGTTAAACAGGGGCTGGGGATTAAGGAGGTCACTTGTCCTGATGAGTACCAGGTGATGTATGGAATTGTTGAATCACTAGATTGTACACCTGAAACTGATAAAACACTAGTTAAAATAAAGTAACATCTTCTTTTCATTAAAAAAAGTATCTGTAGATCCCCTAAAGTTTAGTAAGAGTTTAATTTAGGGAAAAACTGGTCCTAAAAGAACATGGCAAATCAAAATTTATTTGTTCATTTCCTCATTCATTTGCTATGTGTGGATGGTCCACTACGTGCCAGATGTTGAGGCCAGTGGGAGTATAGGAAAACTAGGATATAGTCTTGGCCCTCAAGGAGCTTATACTCTAGAAATGAGAGACCAAATAAGCCAGAGCCCCAGGATGAGCTGGGGAGTGGATTAATGGAGGTAAGCACAGGGGCCTCTGGGGGCATCTAAGCCAGATTGTGTGGCCTGGGTATGCACTGTATAAAACCTCCTGAAGCCCCCATAAAAAATTGGGGGAAATGATTTCTACCTTAAAAGAGAACTTACTCTAAAATAATTATTTCTATTTTGAAACCTAGACTCTGAAGAGTAATTATCCATCCAAATTTGAAGATCCTATAGTAGTTCCTCTTCAAGAATTTGCATGGGATCAATATCTACAGGAGAAAAAACGGGTAAAGAATATTTGGGGTATGGGCAATGAACAGAGTTTTGCCTCAGTTATTAATCTATGCATTGTTTTGGAAAAACTGGAGCAGTGATTTTAGAGCAACTTGATTTGATTTCTCTAAATTATATACTTTTCCTAAATCATTTCAATCATTTTACCAGGCTGATTTTAAGAAAAAGTAAAATATTTACAGGATTTTCTTTTGGAAGACATGTGATAAAGGTAAGTTTTGGACTCTCAATGCTGCTATGTACCCCAGCTGATGGTTAGGCCGCTCTCCCTGCACACTGCTTACTCACACTTCCTGTGACACCTTGGCACTCGTGGTCCTTACTTTGGAAGGTCTTGGTGGTCTACAGCACAGACACAGTGTGGGGCTTGTGCGGGGCAGGGGAGGGGGGGAGCTTGTGGCCTATGGAGCTCTGATGACAGGCACCAAGTTCCCACAGGGCAGCCCTGTCCTAACTAAAGCTTCCTCTCTGCCTTCTCCCCACTAACAGCACCCTTGGAGAACCCCAGGCCCCAGGGCTAGCAGAGCCTGCCTAAGGAGGGCAGATAGGTTTCCTCTCGGGTACCAACCCTGATCATTTGGGAATTCTGCCTAGAACATGTGATACAAAGAGTTCTAAGGTGGCATCCTGGCCCAGCCGTACCTCCTGTTGGGGAATGGGGTACACTTCCTGCTTGCCATCCCTGGCCCAGAGCCGTGAAGACCCAGTCCTGGTTTCCCTGCCCCACCCTATCTCCCCAGTGGCTGATGAAATCCCATGTCCCCTGACCAGAGCAGTGGTTGCACGAGGACGTCCTGTGACCCTGTGGTTATCCTACAGTGTCGCTGTACGGTCTCATGGCACTGTGCACTCACGTGAGTGCTGCAGGACGGAGGCCACAATGCATTTTTTAAGTCTTACCATTTTCAGAGCCATGATACATTCTCATTGGAATTCAGATAGAACAGCAGCAAACATCTACACACAGTGCTTATTATATGCCAGATGCTATCCTCTTGACTTATGTATATATTAACTCCAATCCTTACAACTGGGGTGACCAGTGGTCCTGCTTTGCCTAGTTCGGAGGGCTTTCCTGGGAGCAGGAATTTCAAAGCTAAAGCTGGGACAGTCCTAGACAAACTGGGACAGCTGGTCAGGACAGTTGGTTACCTTAACAAAAATATGTTTTTCTTAATTTTTTTTTTTTTATCACCAAACTACTTACACTGCCTACCAGTCTCATACTGTCCACCTACAGGAGAGCCATGATCTCGTGCTTTGTGGTCTGCACCCATTCCTTTTACAGATTCCCACTGGATTCTTAAAGACTGCTGTGGATTCCATTCCGCAGTTTCCAGCCCCTTCAGCCTGGGTTTACTGACCTTGGGATGTTTTGTGTTCTCTTCCTTCTGCTTTTCTCATGGGGCCTGAATGAGGCTTTCTAGGTAATCACTGCTGCTTCTTTCCACCTACTCTTTATTTCCTATCCTTCCTTTGTTCCTTTTCTCACCCTCATCTCTTGGACACTTGTCACTTTATCCTTTTCTTGTTTCAGGCCAGTTTTCGGCCTTCCTCAATGTAAGCACTGTGCCTTGTGTCATATGTAGTGCTCTTAGCACATCTGAGGTTAGGTGTGCGCTGGCCTTATGTTTCAGCAGAATGTAATGCCTCCCCCGAGTGGTGGCTTCTGGGCCTTTGGAAAGGCTTTTCTCTTCCCTCCAAAGAAGGCAGCATCTTATGTCTCAGTGCTGGAAAGCCCCAGAAACCACTGGGTCCAGGACACTATCTTAAGCGTGAGAGGAAGCCTCCTCATGCACAGATGACACACAAAGATGAGGCATCTACATCATCAGCCTCCGAGTAAAGTGTACCTTCTACTGCATTTCTCCCACCAGGCTAAATAAATATCCACATTAGCTATACCCGGGCTAAATAAATATCCCTTTTTAAAGTTTTGCATTCTATAAAATGTGATAACACCGATAAATCTAAACCGTCTGGGGACTATTGACCCACAGGCTTTATCAGTGATTTATAGTTCAGCCTCAAGAAGTTTATTCTTTTCCTCAAACTAGGTTTTAATATGGGTGTTGGAATGGGATATGAAATCTGGGAGAAGAGCGGGGAGTGCAGCAAATTGGCAAGCTGAAGGCAAACTGTTCCCCAAACCAGCATTTCCCCAAGTTGGTCTCCAGACCAGCAACGTCAGCATCTCCTGGGATGTTGTTAAACATGCAAATTCTCAGGCCCCATTCCGGAATCAGAATCAGAAACTCGGGTGGGGCTCAGGAATCTGTAATTCTGCTTGCCTGCTAAAATTTGAGAACAGCTGTCCCAAATTATTCATACTTTTGCCAGGACTGGCACTGGGTCATAATAAACCAGATCTATCTTCCGAGGGGTCATTACTCATGGTCACACACTGGAATTCAGGAGGTTGACTGTTAGTGTTTGGATAAACACACAAATGCACTTCATTTTAAGGGCTTAGACTTGGAAGTGTTGACAAAGGTGAGTTCTCTCCCTCCTTACACCTGGGGTCCACCAGAAGTCCCTGCTGGCCCCCAGGAGGCATTTCCTTTCCCTGACCCCACTCCCTCAAAAAAGCATTCTTTCCATCCTTGGCACTGAAAACCATGTATTACTCAGAATCCTTACCCTTTCCAAGTATACACACAGTAAACTGTATTTCAGAAATGAAGCCAGAGACTACATTTTGTTTTCAAGTTAACATAACACGTATGCTATGCATACAGATTTTTATTACCAGATCACTGTCTACTTTCAATGACTGTACCATTTTTAGTATTTACTTTTAGGTCATTCTTTGCTTTCAGTGATATCAGATTCTTAAAAATGTTCTTAAATTCTATTTGAGAGCAAAATTCGAAAAGATAGCAAAAAAAAAATATCCCTTTTTTTAAAGATTCAGTTAGAGTCTATCCCAGTTGGGCTCTGGCTTGTGGGTTTATAGCAAGGTTATAAACCTTGCTATATTGCCCCCCCAATACAGTTTTTTTTTTTTTTTATCCTTTTCCTTTATAGGAACTCAAGAATGAAATCTGGGAATATTCTTCCTATGTGATGTGTTTTGTTAACGATCAGCTCCTGGGTGATGCATTTGATCTTCAGAAATGGGCTCACAAGATGTGGGATGTAGTTGATTTTAAGCCCCCTGAACTTTATGAGGCACTTACTGTGGATTATTCTGCTAAATTCTTAACAGACACCAAGGCAAGTTACACTAATTTTTAAAGAAAAATAGTGGAATCTTTGATCATTTATATTGATTCAGCATAAATAACTGATATCCTAACAAAGGAATATAAACGTTTAAGAGTAGGTTTTAAGTTCTCAGTGGCCTATAATCCAGTTGCAAAGGATTATATATAATGTTGCAGGATTTGGCTCAACAGTTTGCAAAGCAAGCATACCTCACAGCAGGCCGACTGCACAGGGGGAGAGCATCCCTGTTCAAACATTTCTACTCCCCATTAGACATTTATTTGCATTAATTATCCATTTTAAAACATAAAGAGCTCCCCCCCCCCGCTTCAGAGAAGTTCGAGCCTATCATCCATTCACCCTTAGTATGAAAAATTTTAATTAGACTGTCTAACACCTAAGTGAGAGGTACTGCACTAAGAGAATGAAAAATCTGAGAAGAAAAGTGACATTTTAAAGATTTTATTTGAGAGAGAGAGAAAGAGCACAAGTGGGGGGTGAGGAGGGGCAGAGGGAGAGGGAGAAGCATACTTCCCACTAAGCAGGGAGCCCGGTGCGGGGCTCGATCCCAGGACCCCGGGATCATGACCTGAGCCGAAGGCAGATGCTTAACCGACTGAGCCACCCAGGCACCCCAAAAGGTGACATTTTAAAGCATGACACATAGTTGGCAAGAGGAGGACCAGACAAGCTAAGGCCCTGAGGAGGTTTCCAATAGACAGTCATGAAGCGTGAGGTCCAAGAGAGTGAGAGACAAACATCAGGGTGGAATGGCAATAGAGGTAAAAGTACTTTGTAATTTTGCTCAGAAGCTTGTTATAGCCACAAGAACCATACGCTGAAAATCATTTCCTGCTTATGGTGGCCTGTGCCCACAGAAAGACCCAGTGCTAGGATTTGAGCTGTAAAAAGGCAAAGACCTTTGTTTCCTTCATCCTCATTTAACTGTTAACTGCCTTGAACACAATCTGAAACATAGCATGACTCAGTGAATGTCTGGTTGAATAAACAATGCACTTGGAAAATACTAGAAACTCTGGGGTATGGGGAGGAATGTAATGTTCACAGCAGTTAATTCCCAAAAGGACAAGGGTCTAAAAGTGCATGGGGTATTCAGGGAAGGGAAGGGACAGCAAAGAGGCCAGAATTAATAGGAAATGAGCCTGGGAAAATGAGTATCAGTCACCAACAATACCAAGCTACTTAAGGACAAAAGGGATGCATTGAAAGGATATTGGTAACCTCACAATTGACAGGAAAGCTGGAGAACCAGGTTTTGGAAAGCAGGTGGGAACCAAGGGAGGCCTGGCAGCAGGAAAACGTGGCTAGAGTCACGTCCCGGAAATGTGCAGCTAGGATGCTGCCATGGGGGCCCACTGGCCCTGGGTTCACATTGCCACCTTCACTGAGAATTCCTTCTCAACTGGTGTCTTTGCATCATTCCCTGGACATCCAAGGCCCCAGGCAGGAGCACCTGACTAATCCAGCCCAAATCATATCCCCACACCCTCGCTCTCACAGAGTGGGGGGAGGGAGAATCTGGCCCCTTTAGTGTCTTTAGAGGGTGGTGGGTCCCGTAGAGAGTTCCCCAAAGGGAAACATCCCCAGGTGTTAAAGGGGGGGAGAAAAAAAAATCCACTAAAGAAAGGTTGAACTTAGTCCATTCTGAACTCCATTCTGAACTAAGGAGTTAGCTTTTTTTCTAGAAGGAAGCTGAGCCAACAGAACTTTTCATAAAGAGTATGACATAACCTTTGCTTTTTTGGAAAAAGTTTTAGGGCTGTGCAAAAACAGGGTGGAGTAGGGAGACCCTGGTGGCGGGTGACCACTTGGAACACTGCTATAGTAGTGTGGTCTAGAGATGATGACAGCCTGAATTCATGGCAGTGAGGAGGGGGGACCTGGATTCCAGAGAAAATCCTTAAATTTTTTTGTGCAGAGGCTAGATTTTTCTTGCTGCAAGGACTTGTTTACTTCTGGGTTGCAATGATATACAAGATAATTATGTTTGCATGTTTGGCTGCTAGGTGACATTACCTTGTGTTGTGCTTATTTGCTCTTTCATTAGAATTGTCCCAATTATCTACTCTTGACAACTGCATAAAGATTATATATTGACACAGAGGGAAGTTTAATGATGCCCGAACGGACTTACCCATTTCATAAATTAATCGTGATTTCCAGTATATCCTCTTTTTCCACCCAAGCCTGTTAAGTTTATTATATTATGCCTCTTATAATACAGTTATACTATTCTTTTATAATTCAGAACTTGTAGTACAGAAGCTGAGAGGCACAAAAAAGTTAATCATAATTACTATGGACATAATACTTCCTGGATGCCAGATAACACAATATTATTACAGTCTCTTAATTAAAAAAAAAAAAAAAAAAAAAAGGCTGGGCGCCTGGGTGGCTCAGTTGGTTAAGCGACTGCCTTCGGCTCAGGTCATGATCCTGGAGTCCCGGGATCGAGTCCCACATCGGGCTCCCTGCTCGGCGGGGAGTCCGCTTCTCCCTCTGACCCTCCCCCCTCTCATGTGTGCTCTCTCTCTCTCTCAAATAAATGAATAAAATCTTTAAAAAAAAAAAAAAAGACTTAAAAAAAAAAAAGGCTTAAGTGACATAAAGTAGTGACAGTGATACCGTAAAAATGATTTCATTTATGTTTCCTAGATTCTTAAGAAATAGGGCAGGGCAAGTTATGTAGCTTGTTAAATCAGGTGGCACCTTTATGTATAAGAATGGTGCCCAAGATTTGAAATGTATCCCATCAGGTGCACTCTGCTCCCTAAATGAATGCTACCATGATGGAGACTGTGTTTTCATTTTGGATGCCTCTTTGTAGAGCTAGACGAGATCACACAAATGTTAGCTGTCTCTATCAGAAAGGATGCCAAATGAGCATGACTGAAATAACACGAAAGCACAGCATATTCTCTTCCCTTCCCCTGGTCCCATACCTCCTATGGGTATGGTGTCGTTGTTTTCCCACTCAGAAAGGACGTGACCTGGCTCTGGGTAGCTAATTGGTGCTCTCTCTCAAAATCGAGAATATATGGTAACCAAATCCATAGCACTCATGCTGGATGTTTCCCAAAATTACTCAGGACAGAAAATTCTGTCCTTTTTCCCAAAGGGACCAACTAGTGTTCCTTTCCACACCTAGCTTGCAATGTAGGGGATATCTAGGCCGTGTGTTCTCTGTCTGGTGTGTAGGTTAAAATTATTCAAAGCTTCACTACTAAAGGGTTTTATTTATTTTTTTTAGATTTTATTTATTTATTTGACAGAGAGAGACACAGCAAGAGAGGGAACACAAGCAGGGGGAGTGGGAGAGGGAGAAGCAGGCTTCCCGCTGAGCAGGGAGCCCGATGTGGGGCTCGATCCCAGGACCCTGGGATTATGACCTGAGCCGAAGGCAGACGCTTAACCGACTGAGCCACCCAGGTGTCCTTGCTTTTGAACTCTTATCACTGAAAACATTATTCTGTGGTATTTTTGGTCATTTCTAAAACTTTCTTCCAGACACTGACCTGCATTATCTTTTTCTCCCTAATTTTAATAGCATGCTTTTGTGTTCCTGGACATTTCTGTTGATTTTTATCCAATTGGAAGACTGGTTTTTGAGGTAAAAGGCTTTTTGTTCTTATTTATTTTTGTTATTTTTTTAATAAGTGGGAGGTAGAGGTAGGAATCTATAACTGTCAAAATATTAAATATTTAATCTTTGAAACCTTTTATTTTTATTTGTAGCTATACTGTGATGCATGTCCCAAAACATGTAGAAACTTTCAGATGTTGTGCACAGGAAAAGCAGGGTATTCTCAAAGTGGCATCAGGCTACATTACGTAGGTTCAATTTTTCATCGAGTAGTACCAAATGGTTGGATACAAGGAGGAGGTAAGTTTAAAATCTTAAATGCAACTTAATTGTAACGTCAAATCAGAATGTCCAGAATTTTATCTTTGTGAAATGCATATAGAATTAGATATATTTATATTAGATATTATATATATATATATTGAAAGGATATTTTATATGGCCAAATGATTAAGATATTCATACTTTTTAAAAATGTCATAAATTTTGAAATAAAAAAATCTAAAGTTTTGTTACCCAGAATATTACAAATTAAAAAGTGATATAAGATAGGAAGATACCATTTTTTATATCAAAATATAATTTTAAATGTTCGTCTAAATAGTGGATGCCTGGATGGCTCAGTTGGTTGAGCATCCAACTCTTGATTTCCGTTCAGGTTATGATCTCAGGGTTGTGAGATGGAGCCCCTGAGTCATTGAGCCCCTCATCAGGCTCCATGCCCAGGGTGGAGCCTGCTGAAGATTCTCTCTCTTCCCCACCTCTCTAAAAAAAAAAAAAAAAGCTCATCTAAATAAATAGCACCTAGAAAATACAGTGCTTTTAAGAGACATTCTAAAGCTAGGAATTTAAAAACAACTTATTTCTCACCAAAGATGTTACATTGTTACAGTGTAAAAGTAAGAGCTAAAGCATTTTGTTCTCCATTTTCGCTATCTTTTCAGGTCAGTCCTTTGAATTCACACAGAGTAGGTCTCTAACAGCACAAAATTAAATTTTGAAGGCCTTTTGGGAGGTATCCCATAGGGAACAATCAGGCAGCAATTTAAAAATAATTGGCTAAGAGTGTAAGGAGATTTGCTTGAACTTGATGAAATATGCAGAGGCTTAAATTAATAATGCTTAATTATTTTTCTACAATCTGGAACATTCTGAGGCTGATGAGAAAAATGTAGTTTAATCCAGGCATTTGTATGAAAATCAACTATTTTTCCCTCAGTTTCTCCAAAAATGAGATATCACCCATAGTGTTACCTAACCTCATTATTTTCCCATTTCATATACATATATGGTATGTCTTCCTATGGCAATAAACATAAACATGTACAATTTTTAGGGTCTGCCTAGTTTTTCATATATTGCTATACCAATTTACAGTTGGCCCCTGAACAATAAGGAGTTTGAACTGTGGGGGTCCACTGATTTTTTACAATACAGTACTGTAAATGTATTTTCTCTTCCTTATGATTTTCTTTTTCTTTTATTTATTTATTTATTTTTATTTGAGAGAGAGAGAGTGAGATAGAGAGCATGGGCAGGGGGAAAGGTAGAGAGAGAAGCAGGCTCTCCGCTGAGCAGCAAGCGCAATGCGGGACTTGATCCCAAAACCCTGGGATCATGACCTGAGCCAAAGGCAGGCACTTAACCGACTGAGCCACCCAGGCACCCCTTTTTCTTTTAAAGATTTATTTATTTATTTGACAGAGAGCGCACGTGCACACACACGGGGTAGGGGCAGAGGGAGAGGGGGAGAGAGTCTTAAGCAGACTGTGCTGAGCGCAGAGCCCCATGTGGGTTTCAATCTCATGACCCTGAGATCATGACCTAAACCAAAACCAAAAGTTGGATGCTTAACTAACTGTGCCACCCAGGCGCCCCTTCCCTATGATTTCCTTAATAACATTTTCTTTTCTCCAGCTTCCTTTATTGTAAGAATACAGCATATAATACATGTAACATACAAAATATGCGTTAATTGACTGTTTATGTTACTAGTAAGGCTTCTGGTCAACTGTAGACTATTAATAGTTAAATTTGGGGGGAGTTAAAAGTTATACAGGGCTTTTCAGCTGTGCAAGGGGTTGGCACACCTAACCCCTGCATTGTTCAAAGGTCAACATAATTAATTCCCTACTGGTAAACATTTAGATTGTTTACAAGTATTTGTTGGTATAAAACCATCCTCAAGGGAACTAGTATCAGGGTCTCCTGAAACTAAGTTCAGTGTTGACTATTATGTGCTGGGCTCTCAGATGCTATGTTCCTTTTTGTTTTATTTTTGGGTTTTGGTTAGAGGTACACCTCCCCTTCCCGAGTCCCAGAGCAAGATTTGGGAAAAGTATGTCATATTACTTGTTTGTTGACTTATTTGAAATAAAATTTCCAAATAGTAAAATGCACAGATCTTGGGTCATGATTTCAAATAATGAAGCAGCAATGTTAAGGACAGTTTGGGAAAAAAATGCTGATTACTAGATTCAAACCCAGCTGATATATACCAGTTGTACCACTTAGTACGTAGGCACTTAGCATCTCTGAATCAGTTTCTCAATCCTAACATGGGGAAAATTATATCACAGGATGTGGCAAGGACTCAGGATTCAGTGACACGGTATATTGGAAGTACCAAGCTCTATGAATATTCTCCCTTCAGATGCCAGATTCGCACAGGGCTGTGGGGGGAATTTTGGAATATGGCTAATGTGGTTTTATGCTGTGCCTTAGGATGCCTCCCAACCTACTGGTTGCCCAATGGGACCAGCAGGGCCTATACGGTCTACCCTACCCCTAGCCTCACCTCATCCTCTGACAGCTACCCTTGCTCTGCTCCACACACTGGCCTCCTTGATGTTTCCCAAGCACACAAAGCATACATGGGCTTGAGGTCTTTTGTTGTTTCCTCTGCCTGGGACACACCCTACCCAGCTATGCTTCAGAGATCCCCTTGCTTCAGCCTCTAATGTTTGGATTTTTGCCCAGAGTTCATCTCAGCAAGACTTACCTGACCATCCTATTTAAAACTGCCACTTTCCTATCCACGCAGGTCTCCTCACCCCTTTCCCTGCTGCTCTCCTATCCCCTAATTTTTATTTTTAAAATATTCTATTTTTGGTTCATAGCACTTGTTATCACTGGACATACTATTACATATTTCCTAGTGAATTCGTTTAGTGTCTGTTTCTCTTCATTAGACTATAAATAAGTTCCATGAAGGTAGAGGATTTTATCTATTTTGTTCACTGTCATATCCCCGGGTTCCAGAGCAGTGCCTGGTATATAGTAAGGGCTTAAAAAATATTGTTGAAAGGATGAATGAATAAATGAACAGATAAACAGGAAACATACATTCTAGACATTTCTAAAGTACAAAATGAAAGAAGCTATCAAGAGCCACTTTGGTGGGATTCTCTGTCTGTGGCTCCCACAAGGCCTACTGCCTTCTGAAGGACCTCTTGAGAAAGAGTTTAATACATTTTGTCATCATCAACATCATCATCATCAATATAATGATGGTGAAGACGGTGGTAATGAGAAGATGCATTCCCTAAGCATGCAATGCTGCGTGACTATGGCCCCCCCCCGTGAATGAGCGTGGCGCTCTGCCCTGAGCTGCACCAAGTGCTGTCGGTAGAACGTGATTTTGTTTAATCCTCAGAATTACCTGGGAGGCACTAAGCATTATTCCTGTCTATACAGATGAGGAAACAGGCTTGGAAAAGGTAACTAACATCAAGATTGAAATCAAAATTTGAACCATTACTCTGCATTGTAGAATTTGTCGTCAGAAGTACAGAAATAACATCAGATATGTAAGGCTGAATTCAAGTACTGATTGAAATGGTGTCAGTATAAAATATTTCCCTGGGAGAAAAATGAAGGGGGGAAATTGGAGGGGGAGACGAACCATGAGAGACTATGGACTCTGAGAAACAAACTGAGGGTTCTAGAGGGGAGGGGGGTGGGGGGATGGGTTAGCCTGGTGATGGGTATTAAATGCACGTACTGCATGGAGCACTGGGTGTTATACACAAACAATGAATCATGGAACACTACATCAAAAACTAATGATGTAATGTATGGTGATTAACATAACATAATAAAATAAAATTTAAAAAAATAATTTCCCCGGAGGATGTGAAACAAAGGGCAAGAGGAATGGTGGGTGTTGGAGAGACCTTTGGCAAAGGAGTATCACCGATGCTGAAGTGAGTCAGTAGGGGTGGTGAACCACAGGCCGATTTGTCTGAGCAAAGCCAACTCTAGGATCAGAAGGAATTGATGCTGGAGGACGTGTGACTTCCCCATTTCTGGAGTTAGCCTTCCGCCACCGCAGTGTGCCCCTGGGAGATGCTGAGGGCTCTGGGTGAGTCACGCGGGGAGTATCAGGCAGAGTAGGGTTGAAGACTTCAGGACTAATGATTAACTTCTGAACCAGTTTGTGAATGGAATTTAAATGCTACATGCCTGTCTTGAATAAATTCTCTCCACATGCTTGCTGTTGCATCTGATTTCTTTACAGTGCACTTTTATTACAGGTAACTCACTCACACTGAGTTAAAATGGCACAGTCTTTCAACAGAGCTGTATTATACACTGTACTCAAGGAGGTTGAATGAGAGAGGAAAGGAAGTAAAGAGGTGCTGATGGGGAGGCCGGGGGCACAGAGCTGAGAGACCCTTATTTCCACCAGAGTCCGCTATTTCCAGTAGTCACCTTTGTTTCCCTTTCACCTGTGGATACAGAAAAAGTCGTTTGTGCATGGAGGATGTTTACTGTAGGAGCACTGCCTGAGCAAAAGTATGTGTATAATGCATATAATGCAAAATGGGACATGACAAATACTTTTTTTTTTTTAATCTACCTCATTACATTATAAGGGATCTTCCTTTCCAAAATACTGGCTAAATAAATGAATTATCACTCTGGGGTTCCAAGGAATGAAAATTTGAACACTGATTCTTTTTAGAGCCATCTATTTTTATCCCTCTTCTAAAAAGACCTCACTGTTCCTATTTCATTCTCTCAGTCTGGTCTTTCCATTTTCCTAAAAAGCAAGATGGACTATGGAATAACTTGTGAGGCAAGCAGAATTTATATGAACACACTTCCTTTAAATTATGACCACAATTATAATTTAATACTTCATCATTTCAAATGTTTTGCATTATAATTTTGCCTACTTCAAAGAGTTATCAGGGGAAAAAATGGGATCATGAATGTTAGAGTGCTTACAAAATACAAGTGAAATCATTATAGTAATATTTTCATGGTTTAGATATTGAACAATTATGTATCATATAACTTACTCTAGTCATTGGTATAAGTGGAATCATAACTTAAAGCATTTTCCCCCGGCCATTACCATACTCTTTTTTAGTCTCAAAATTCTAATGTTTGTTTATTGTTATTTCTCAGATATAGTAGAAGGAAAAGGAGATGATGGAGAGTCGATTTATGGACCAACATTTGAAGGTATGTATCTTTAAATTCTGTCAGTCTATATCAGCTGATAATTCAAATCTAACAAGACTGGACAATTCACAACTCCAAATAAGATGGTGTTTGGGATAACACACTGAAAAGTGGGAGTTACAAACGGGATAAATGGGGAGTTACAAACTGGGGAAACACACCCCAGTCCAGTCCAGAACAGCTTTGTATACATATTTTTTCACTTGCCTAATTATATTATTCCTTTAGGCTAAATTTCTAGGATTAGTATTGTAGGGTCAAAGGGAATTTATATATATATATTTTTAAAGATTTTATTTATTTATTTGATAGAGACACAGCAAGAGAGGGAACACAAGCAGGGGGAGTGGGAGAGGGAGAAGCAGGCTTCCTGCTGAGCAGGGAGCCTGATGCAGGGCTCGATCCCAGGAACCTGGGATCATGACCTGAGCCGAAGGCAGACGCTTAACAACTGAGCCACCCAGGTGCCCCGGGAATTTATATTTTTAAGGCTTGTAATTTGCCATGCTTGTACCCAGAATTTGGTACTTTGATAATCATCCCATTAAAACTGCTGTTGGGGATCCTGGGAAGATGAGGTCGTGGTGATGGCACAGTTTTTGAATCTTTTGAAATTCCAACATAAAAACAGACCGTATAAGTAGATAAAAAAACTAAAAACCCATGGATGACATTTACAACAAAACTAGGTGACAAGGTATCTAAATGAATTCTCAATTCAAACAGATGAGGACAAACTTCCTATAGCTATGAAATCTGCAAGATGTCAGCATCTGTGTGGGAAAAAGCAGCACATCTGGTGGACTTGAGACTAGCAGAACCCCAAAATAGCCAACAGTGGGTGAGTGCAAGGGGGTCCCTGGTAAGGTCTGAGGCTGGAGCAGCCTAACCTCTCTGAACTCTTGAAACTGATCTGAAAGGGCGCTCTTCCAAGACAGGCCCACACAAGGAGGTGTTGCTGTGAATGGAATCAAAGTTATGCAGGATAGAAGGGCAACAGCGACAAAGAGGGAATGGGGACAGAGCCAGAAAGTCTCAGAAAGCAAGTTGCCATACTGTCGAACACTACATGAAAACAGCACAAGGAGGAGCTTTGTGAAGTCAGAAAAGCGACCTTCCTTCTAAAGCCACACCTCCTTCTAAACACCTAGGAAACCTAATTTTACATAAAAACAGGCAACAAAAAGTTTCATGGTTATTAGAAGAAGTAAAAGAGAATAAGGAGCAGAGTAATATCACTACAGATCATGAAAGTACACTAGGAAAGACATGCTCACAAAACAGATCAAAATCACAAATTTCAGAGTGAGCCAGAAGACATTGAGAATATGATACAAGACAGGAAAGAACTCATAAGTCAGAATTAGAAAAACTTAGAGGTTACAGAACTAGGGAAGAATCAGCAGTAAAAGAACATTTCAGAAATAAACTAGAAGGAACATGGGTCAAATAAACACGACAGATATATATGTCTTAAAAGAAGTAAAAGGTGGAAGGAGGGAATTTTTTAAAACCAAAAAGAAATGAAGAAAGATAAAAGGATTTATGAGAAAGTGACAAATAGCTAGAAAGAGAAGATCCAACATATGGATGGAAGGTTGTCCCTAAAGGATTAAATGAATGCTAGGGAATGGAGCAAATACTAAGAACTAATATTGAAAAAACCTCCTGCGTTTAAAAAGGATTTGATGTTCTCTTTTTGTTTTTCGTGGTGGTTACACAGCTACACACAACTGTCAAAATGCATCAAACTGAACATCTAAGATAAATGCATTTTATTGTATGTTTGTACCTCAAGTAAAAATATTGTATAAAAACTTGACATTACTTCTTGAAAGAGAACAATGCCACCTGATAATATTAAACCAGAACAACCAACACTAAGACATATTTTAGTAAAATTTTGGACAGTTCAGAAAAAGTAAAAATTCTTTGGGCAGGTAGGCAAAAAGAGCAAGTGATTTGTAAGGGAAAGAAAAGTAAGTTATCATCATATTCTTTGACATTATATTATTATGTCACGAGAAAATGGAGTAATACATTTAAGATGCTCAAGGAAAGGAATCATGAGCTAAGGATTTTATATTCAGCCAAACTGAATCTGAATTATAAAGGGCACACAGACTTTTCAATATGTAAAACTTTAGGGAATAATGTTGCCACAAGCCCTTCTTGATCCTGAGGAATCGACTGCAGAATGAGTTTCACACAAACAAATTATAAGAGAGACCCTGACATAAGGATTGGTGATGAGCAGTAATCACATAGTGACTTGTGAAACTAAACTTTAATGAGGAATAAAGGGTGAGAGTATGATATGTAATGACTGTATCTTTAGCCTACCTTTTTAAAACTGGAAAAAATGGGGAGAATGTATGCAAAAACTTTTAACTATTTTCAGTAATTATACTAGTGATGGTATTAATACTGTTATTTTGAGACTGTTGTATATGTAATGTGGAAAAAGTAAGTAATTATAGGATATCCTAAATTCATCGTTTCGTGTGTCCTTGAAAGAATCATGATTTTCAATGTGCAAGGGAGATAAATATGCAATATGATAGAGGCTAATAAGTAAAATATTCTGTATTGGAAATATCAGTTTAAACTCACAAAGTGTATCTACCTATATAGCTCTATCCACTGAATTGGTCTACAAGGACCAACCTAGTAGCTTTACACACTCCTAGCATTTAGATTGGTGTTCTGAAGTGTCACTTCTCACTTAAAGAAACCAGAGCTCCCGGGAGAAATGGCAGGTTTCAGTTCCAGGACAGGAAATTACAAAATGAGCCTTGAACCTGCTGTTTAGTCATGCTATTATCAGATAGCAAGAAAGCTATTCAAGATTTACTAGGGTCATGTCAAAGGCCTTGGGAGACGACTTGAAGAGGCTCTCACTGGCCAAAGATTTGAACTTCAAAAAGAACAGTAATCGCAAATAACTGAAACCCAACAAGTATTTTAAATCCATGAGTTCATAATGACATCATATTATAAAATAAAGCCTAACAGCTTATCTTTGGGGGAATGATGGGAAACAAATTCATTATCTTAAAAATTGATAAATATAAGCAAAGAATCAAGCATTTATCTTGCCTTTCCTATATGAACTGTACTAAATTATAGATAAAATTGCTACTTATAAAAGCATTCCAATAGATAGATGACAAGGAAATAAAAGAATTAGAATAGCACCATTTTGCTGCCCCAGTGAAATAATGGATCTATGCCTTTGCTGCATTGGTATCTGCCAACTTCACAAAAACAGGGACAACCAGACATTATGAGCCTTCTGTGGAGAGAATACACCACCAAAGGGACAGAACATGAGTCTGATTAAGCCTCTGGACCCAGCGGCCAATCTGCAGGAAATACAACCAGTTGTGATGTCATATGGTCTTAAAGATCTCTGCACTATGCAAAATCATGCATTAAAAACTACAGGACTTACGGCAAAAGTGCGGTACAAAAAAACCCTTTCTCAGTGACACATTAAAATAAAGAGTAACCTGATAAAAACAGTAACGGTTTAACATGTATTTTATGGTCAAGAAACACAAATACTAAACTAAATTTGGCACTCTACCTTGAAAGCTCCCTGACGTTTGAGGAGGTGGCATGGGAAGAGTTGCAGCTTGGGAGTGATTGTGAAGTGGTGGAAGGAGGGCTCTCTGAAATTGGAGGCAGGTTGTAACATCAGACGTCGGTGGATGTGGTGGATGTGGTGACCTGTGGCGGACGTCTGAGGTGTGTGTGTTCCTATGCAGCTCGGTTCAGCTGGGAGCCATTTTCTACATTTACCTGGTGTTTCTCCTAGACATTGCACATAAACACGGGCGAGCTTCATTATGCTCAGATGTTCCCAATATATCAATCAAGTTGAAACTAATTTGCCTTCTTAACACAAGTATTCTAGGCAAAAGGACAGGACAGAGAACACAGAAACATACTGAAATGCCCCATGCAGGTGCAATCAGCAAATTTTGGACTGGGAAAAATTCTAGAGGTTAAACAGCTCCGGTTTATTAACAGATAAGATAAGTAAAGGGATAGAGGCAGACCTTGAAGATTAAGAGAGACTTAAAAGTCACAACAAGTCTTTTAAACTGGTAAAGACTGGGGCACCTGGGTGGCTCAGTCGGTTAAGCATCTGCCTTCGGCTCGGGTCATGATCCCAGGGCCACGGGATCGAGCTGCATCGGGCTCCTTGCTGAGCAGGGAATCTGCTTATCCCTCTCTCTCTCTCCCCCTCTGCCCCTCCCCCCTGCTCTCTCTCTCAAATAAATAAAATCTTTTAAAAAAAGGGAAAAAAATAAAATGGTAAAGACTAAACTATACTACCTAGTAACTACTGATAGCTGTGGACTAAGTACTAACACTATTGAGCTGAAGCCTTATCAAAAACAAACAGTTGATTAACACATATTTTGTAAGTTGTATGTATTATATACCATCTTCTTACAATGAAATAAGCTAAAGAAAATGTTAAGAAAATCATAAGGGGGCGCCTGGGTGGCTCAGTTGGTTAAGTGACTGCCTTCGGCTCAGGCCATGATCCTGGAGTCCCTGGATCGAGTCCCGCATCGGGCTCCCTGCTCAGCAGGGAGTCTGCTTCTCCCTCTGACCCTCCCCCCTCTCATGTGCTCTCTCTCATTCTCTCTCTCTCAAATAAATAAATAAAATCTTAAAAAAAAAAAAAGAAAATCATAAGGAAGAGAAAATACATTTACAGTTCTGTACCGCATTGAAAAACATCCCCATGTGAGTGGAGCCCTGCAGATCAGAGCTAGTGCTGTTCAAGGGCCAACCGTATAAGGAAACATTAAGCATGAGAGCATTTAAAAGTCAGGGGAGTGGTTACTTTTGAACCAGACAAGGCACTTAAGCTGGACTGAGTGGGGATGAAAAGGGTGTTTCCCTTATAATAACTAATAATAAATACAACTATACATTAGTTTTCTATGGCTTTTGTGTCTAAATTTTAATACACTGAAAAGGTTTTTGTTTTGTTTTTAAAGTAATATTGAACCAATACCAAAGTGAAGGGAAAAGGAAAAGCCAATTTCCTTCTAAGTGCATGTGGAGCCCGCTTTATCAAATGAAGCTGGGCGAGTGACTCCATTTATTTATTTATTCATTAATAAAACATCCAACTCTTAGTTAGGTGCCTACATGGTGCTAGGACCTTAGGAAACAAAAGATGATATGACCAAGCCTCCAGCCTCAAAGATTTTAGGTTTCGTGCAGACAGCTACTGAAACAGATTAGCTCCAGGCACAGTGCCAATGGCCGTTACAGAGGAAGCACTGAGCACTGTGGGAAAAGAACCACCAGCTGCCTGGGAGAGTCGGGGGCGGTGGCCCAGAGTAGCTTTTGAGTTGGGTCTTAAAATAAAACACTGCAGATGGGGAAGGGATGTTGCTAGATGCTTTCCTGACAGGCTTAATCCCTGATGAGAATCCACCCTATCGGTCCACCCCACGGCCGCTGTCAGATCACCCGGACTCCTATTTGGAGGCACAGTCTCAGACAACTTGGCCCTTCTGTCCAGCAGGAGACACATCTCTTAGCTCCTCCCCTTGCCTGCCCCCTGCACAACCCTGTGCCTCTGCTGATGGTCCCTCACTCCTATCCTTACACTGTTACGGAGATTTAGTCTCCAGATGGAGGCGGCTGTCCTCTGGTGCCAGGGGGAGGCCCAGTGTGTTTAGGGAAGCCTCCATTACTCAGGATGTCTGCAGGTGCAGAATTAGAAACTCAATAACCCATCAAATGAAAAGGAGAGATGCCCCCAAGGAGAGATGAGTAACTGCTCAGAACAGAGAAGCATGGGTTTCCCTCCCTCTTTCAGCCCCTGGGGGATATGCACACAGCAGCCAGCCCGTCCCTCCTCCTCCACATCTCTCTCATTGAACCCTATTACCATGAGCGGCAGGATTGAAACCCGGGGCTTGCTAAAAATGACTACAACCACAAAACTCATTTTTATTAGGCTGAGCACAGTGAATTTAAAAGAATGTAATAAATTATTCAATTAGATGATTATTTTATAAATTGGTTAATCATTTTTTTAACTTGAAGAGTCTGTTTTGCATCACAACTTTTTAAACAGTCTTCCCAAATCCTATTCTGAATGTTAGAAACTATTAACCCTTTTTTTTCTCCTTGTATAATATCCCTAATCCTTCTCACTGGCCAAGGATTGGCAATTAGGTGGTTTGGGCTGACTAAAGAAAATATCATTTATACAAAAAGAAAAAGAAAAATATTTTAAAATACTGTATTATCCTTGTTACGTTTAGTAGACCAGTTTGTTAATATTAGCTTGTGCCCTAATTCACAGACGTAGCACTTAACATCCATTTGTCTAATTCTTAGATCTCCTTGCCTTTAAATGAAAGTGTTCGGGGTGCCTGGGTGGCTCAGTCAGTTAAGCCTCTGCCTTCGGCTCAGGTCATGATCCCGGGGTCCTGGGATCGAGCCCCACATCAGGCTCCCTGCTCGGCGGGAAGCCTGCTTCTCCCTCTGCCCCTCCTCCCTCTGCCCCTCACCCTGCTCGTGCTCACTCTCTCTCTCAAAATCTTTAAAAAAGATAAATGAAAGTGTTCATTAATAAAAGACACAGAGCCTGATGTACTGTCAGTACTGAATAACTGAAAATAGTATGGTCTGGGTAGCCATTTATGGGCTATTTTTTAAAAAATTGTGAGACTTATATATGGAAAGTGCATATGCACAGTTAAAACATAATTATAAAGCAAATCCCCGTATTACCATCCTTGTCAAGAAAGAAAAATTGACAGCATGCCAGAAACACCCTATTTATCCATCATCAACAATACTCCACCTCCCTCAGAGGTAACCACTAGCCTGCCTTTTTTCCTTGCTTTCCTTGATAGTTTAACCACCCATGTGTGTATCCCTAAACAATACAGTTAAATTTTGCCCGTTTTTGAATTTTAAGTAAGTGGAATTACACTGTAGGCATTCTTTGTGTGCCTTGCTTCTTTTGTTCATGCACTGCCTATGAAATTCATTCATGTTCTCTATAGCTGGAGTCCTCTTGTCACTAGTGTTCAATGTTATAAATACACCCTGTTTATCCCTGCAAGTGTTCATGAATACTGGCTATTCCTTCCTAATGTCACACACACAATCAACATGTTGACTTACAAATGCTTCATTAAAGCAACAATTAAAACATGCTAAGTAGCACACTTTCATGTACTTTTATATAATAATAAATAGTGAATAGCTGTTATCAAATATGATGGTAAAAATAGAACAGTTGGTTCACAAAACTGATACTGTAGGATTCGGGTCAGATTTTTACTTGGTATGATTGCCTTCAGCAAATTATATGGAAATGTCCTAACCTGTCTGATTATACTTTTCTAAAAAAATATTTTATTTATTTGAGAGAGAGAGAGCATGAGAGGGGGGAAGGTCAGAGGGAGAAGCAGACTCCCCGCTGAGCAGGGAACACCAATGGGGACTCGATCCTGGGACTCGATCCTGGGACTCGAGGATCATGACCTGAGCTGAAGGCAGTTGCTTAACCAACTGAGCCACTCAGGCGCCCCTGTCTAATTATACTTTTACCAGAGAGAATGCATGGCAGTCTTCCCAGACTTGTGGTAGTTGCTTCCTTTGTAAGCATCAATGAGCTTTATTTTAAACAGATTCAGAAACCGATTTTCTTCAGCATATAAAGTCTGATTTCTATTTCAAATAGTTACATGTTACCCTTCATGTTGTATGTTACAAATGATGCCAGTTTTGACCACAGAGCAGTAACTCGATTCCATATCTTATGGTAAATGGTAGAGGCGGGAATTCCTGAGTCACAGACAATGTAATGAGAGGGTCCTGAGATCTTACCATAGCTTTTAAACTTCCTTCCATGCCTCAGTTAACATGACCTAAAAATAAAATTATTACTAATTTTGCAGGTTTAGCCAGCACTCAAATTTTAAATTTTTCTATTTTTGCCCGGCAATAAAAAAGACGTTTTTTGTTCTTCCTACTTCAAAACATTTTTTTGTAGGTTGCTGAAATTTTTCCTTTCCACTCACAGCTGCTAAGAGAGTGAAAATAATCTAGAATAGTTAATTACCCCACTCAGACAAAGTGGGGAGGAGAAGGGTTGTTTTTCCCTGTCCTCAAAAAATTATGTGAGCACATTAAACTTACACTTTTTATATAACTGAAAAGTCTTAAGCTCTGCACTTAACCCTCAACACACTAGGCATTGTAAAAATATTTGTCAAATAAACAAATGTTGAATTAAACCTGGGATTTTCACTCTCCATCTTGTTACTTGTGAAAAAATATTTCTCTAAGGACAGAATTTTATTTCGAACTCCATTATGCTACTGGCTCTGATCTTTAAGTGGATAATACGCTCCCGTGAGGCTGGGGGTCCACTCCATTCCCCGAGTGAGCTGTGGAGGAGGCACCAATGGCCCAGTCCCAGCTGCAGCTCATGCTGAGTTTGTATGGGAAGGTCACCACAACTTGTTTCATAGCAAAGGCCCCCACCAGTAACTGTGTAGGGGGGGCGGGGGTTGGCTCCCCTCCCCTCAGTGGGATGCTTTCCAGGAATAATTCTACCCAAGGGCTTTACCTGGTGTGGCAGAGTCACCGAGTGACTCCCCTCTGCCCTGCCGTCGCTGCCAATCTTGAAGCGACAAGCCTCAGGTCCTTAAGTTCCACAGCAACATTCTGTT